TGTCTGAGGGGGACCCGGGGGTCCCTGAGGTGCTCGCCGGGTCAGTCTCTGCTTTAGCCCGTGCCACGGCTGTGTGGGTCTTGCGTGATAATGCACGAGGAGATCACTCACGGTCATCCGTGGGGAGAGAGGGATCCACGGGCTTCGGTTCAGATTGTTCTCCAACAGAGTTATTTTGTTCAAACATCTCTCCCGATTTCCCTGTGCCAAGTTCCCTTTGCTTTTGGGATAGATACGTGAGATCCCGTGTAACTTCCACGAAGATGTCCCTCCCCACACACGCACTTCTGCCAGCTCACAGACCGGTAGGACTGTTCTCTCTTACCTGGTGGTTGGACTGTGTCGTAATCAGAAGGTTGTTTGTCTGAGTGGCAGTAAAAAAAAGTACCTTTTTATTTAACAGTGAACACCAGGCTTAAATATGTATTCAGTTGCTGTTTATCTCTTAAAGCCTGAGGAGGAACACGTATTTGAGTATTTTACCTGTGACCTCTACAAACTGGAGCTTTTTTGGTATGCAGAATAATTTTTGTTGATGACTGTTTTCTGAATTACCAGTTGTGCATTGTTGAATTGTGCTCTATGGCTTCTAGTCTGCCCGCGGGGAATTCTCTTGCTCAATACCTGGACTTTGCACTGTTGCCAGTCCCTGAAGTGATCCAAAGGTATCATAGGATGGTTCCTGGTGTCTTCATGGGCTGTGTTCTTCTTTAGGTTTCAGAGGAGTGTGTTGGATCTCTCTTTACAGTGGAGATTTGCCAGACTGCCCAACAATGCCAAGCTGGAGATGGTGCCAGTCTCTAATAGAGTGGGAATTGGAAACACGGTATGTTCATTTCACAGTGTGACCCGATTTGTTCAGTTATCAGCTGTGCTGGATATGGTCTCGTCAGATCTAGTGAGCAAGAGTGTGGGTAGGCTTGGACAATGCTTGAATGGAAGACCACCCAAAGACTGGTTAAGGTGTGGTGGAAGATGGTAATTTAGTAGCTGGAGGTCTTCACTTGCAGTCTCTATGATGGTGGAGTTCCAGCTGTTTGCTGGAGGATAGGGAGATCTGGGGAGCTGAAAAACTAGTGGTCATGAATGTATAAGAAGTTAAACATCACTGATGACTTTGCTCAGCGGTTGAGCTACTAACTCGGTTCCCTTTCCTAATTTCTATTTCAGTTGCTGTTGTCTGCCTCTGGATTTTGACTAAAATTTCAAATTCTTACAGGGTTCTCTTTTGCTTTCCAGCGTTGCTGTTCACGGTGTGTTCACACAGCTTTACAATTTTTTGTGACATGTGCTGTGTTTAGGAGTTGCCGGATGTCCCTATTTAGTATAATTTGCAAAGGGCTTACGGATGCTGTGTTCTGTAGGAATTATTGTCACGTTTAGGAGATTTAAAAATCTTCTATGCATGTCACTGTAACAGCTGGAGGCATACTTTTAAAACGATGCATAGGTGTTAATAAACGTAAAGATTTTATGTGGTAAAAATTATATATGATCTTATTTAAGTAGCCTGGGAATGAAAATTTGCCTATCACTAACAGTCATCTCTCTTCTTACTGACTTCCTCATATGGAGTTTCTCAATTTTTGTGAAAGTTTCAGGTCTATTAGTGCTAATGTCTTAATGTCTGTCTGCCAAATCGTATTAGTGGTATTTTGTTATAGGCAGTTGCCTTAGCTGTCACAAAGATAAACTGATACATACATTGAAAAGTGAATTTTGTAGTGTGAGAAGGTTTTGGAATCTCTGCTCTAGTTCATTGTGGGTGTGCAACGTAGTTTTGGGGATCACTGATGTCCATGTTTTTCTCTGTAAAACCTCCATGTGCTTTGTTTTGGCACTAATGTTTTCCTTGTGACTCTGTGGTAGAAAGAAGTTTGTGCTCCAAATGACCTATTTAGTTTAAAAAATACCACAAGCTGGTAGCATCTGCTTAAAATTTTCAGTTAAAAAAAGTTGTGATGGAGTTCGTCTGCCAGAGGAAAGTGTTTCTATTAAAATGGTAGAGTGATTACTTTATCTGACACTTGCATCCAGTTTGGGAGGTATTGTACTGAAGGAAACCAGTGATTTCCGCCCCCCCCCTCCCCCCAAGAAGATATATACAGCATACTAGAAAGGGTGAGAAGGACTTCGTAGTGTAGGAGAGGGGTTATAGCATGGAGTAACTACTTTAGATCACAAAAGAGAAGAGCTCATGAAAGTTTAAGTTGTTACTGTTTAGTTGTATTTCAACAGAAGAATCTATATAAGTGAAGCTTCCCCTGGAGTGCTCGTTCCTTTTTTAGGGAGTTGAGAAGATACAGCAAATGTGCTTGTGAAGGGTGCAGTCTAAACAGAGTTGCTGTCCCATAAACTAAGAACAGAGATTTCACTTGGAAGAATTTTACAGACAGTATAAGAAAATACTTTGTACAAAATAGAATTGACCAAAAGAATTCCTTGCCACAGGGAACTAGTGTCAAATACTGTAGGAAGTTTAAAACAGCTGGATAACTCTGTGACCAGAACTGACACTAGCATTATCCCTAATGTAATGGCAGTTGAGATGCGGACTCAATCATGCAGGCCAGCTTCAGTAATGTTGGGATGAATTTGCTTTTGTGCCTTTTGTTATTGTCTCTTTTATTGACACAATGTGCATGGAAGTAGGTGTGCTTTCCTGTGGTGTGTTGGCAGCAGTTACTCTTAGGGACAGAATACACGTTTTGATAAATCATGAGTTTGTTCGGCAAGTCTGATTATTTTTAAAATAGAATGCTTTTGGATTTGCCTTTGTGTGTAAAGATCATTGATGCCTATAAGGCAGTTCTTTAGTGAAAAATTGAACAAATTCCCCTTGTTATGGCAGGTGATTTAGGGGTACCATCCGTACAGTTCTAGTGTTAAAGTTGTTAGCCTTTTGTTTATATGTTTGTAAACTTAGAAGATAATTGGCACCAGTGTCTCTATTATTTTATATAGAGTCTGGGATTTTTAAAAAGACTTTTCTAATTGACTGAATATGACTTTCGTGACATGCTTAGCTTTGAACTGTTGCCCAAAAACTGATGCAACTGGTAGTCTGAATTTCTGGGCTGGATTCTTATAGAATGGTGATGTCAGCTGTCATCACTCTGCTGTAGCTGAGAATAATCTAAGGCTTGTCTCCAGCATAGGAGAAAGCAGGAGGTTGTGTTAGTGGTGGGATGAAACGACTTAGTTCTGTTGGCTAGTTGTTGATGATGCCACTGTTTCCTTTATGTAGAAGAATTCCTGTCTCCAGCAGATCACAGTTTGCAGTCCTGCAAGAACTGGTAGGAGCCGAGGCAGATGACAAACATATTCCTCCAAGAAAAGCACAGTAGACTGCCAGAGTGTGTGGTGTCTATTTTTTTTCCCATCTTTCTCTCTCTCTCTGTGTCTGTCTCTCCGCCCCCCCCATCATGTTCACACACGCACGCACACACACACACGTGCGCACACGCTCTCACAGAGTGAGAGGCTGCACTCCCATTGTTGGTAGGGGCACATGAAAACACAGAATGAAAGAAAGCTGCTGTTGATGTCCTAGGCTTATGTCCGTCTCAGATTTTTGAATAAGGCCAATTTCTGTGGACTTAAACCATAGTTGACTGGAGACACTAGGTGCTATCTAATAGGGACTTTTTTTTTTTTTTAACTTTTCTTTAGATGGGTGAGCTAATTGGGAAAACTCACTACACATGAAATTATTACTTGTTTACTTAATTACTTATTACACATTACACACAAAACCTGTTACACATTTTGAAAAAGAAGGCTGAATATTCTCTAAAAGGTAAAGATAACACCTGAAGTGCTCTGCCATTCTCCATCTCTTGGTCAGCTGCTGGATTTTTCCCTTGGGACCATCAGGAGTTTGAAGTTCCTCAGGACTGTCTTCTGTGCTCATTTTAGAAATGCCTTGGATTTTTTTTTTTTTTTTGGTAGCAATTCTGTGAAGAATATGGAGGATCTGCATGAGCACCTGCTAATGAACGTGAATGTTCACATTCCAGGTTGGAAAAGGCCTGTTAGAATAGGCAGCTAGCTGTCCTTTGCCTTTTTCTGCAGGTGTTTAAGAACTTGATAGCGGAACGTCCAGAATTATTTTTGAGATTTTTTGATCAATTCACTCTTAAATTGTAGGTCAAAATTTTGTGGTTAGGAAGCATAAGTGAGTTGCAAGTTACACATGTAGTCTCTTTGGGCTGATAATAGCTGGTTAGGTCTTCAATAACTCAGATAGATTTGGACCATGTGCGTTGTTTCTCTGTGTGGATGTGCAAGTATGCTGTTTGTTCTGCCTCAGGGAAGTTGTTCTGCAAATCGATGCTTAAGTCAACAGAGCTCTAGGTTGGCGTTTCAGTTTATGCAGCTGCATCGATCCTGTCTGGGTTATTGGAATTCATTTTATATAGCTGTGAAGGCCCTTGCTGTAAAGTTTCAGCTAGCGTAAAACAGAACATCTCAATTGCTTATGATGACACATTACTTGGGATGCTTGCATGGGCCTTCAGTTGAGGATATGGCAGGGAAGAGGGGGCCCAAGAATGCTGGTTAATATTCAAGGATTACCTTCTCCATGCTCAAGAGCAGTCCTTTCCAATGAATAGGAAGTCAGGTAAAAATGCCAGGATGCCTGCAAGGAGCTCCTGGCCAAACTCAAACACAAAAAGGAAGCGTACAGAGAGTGAAAGTAAAGATGGGTAATGTGGGAGGAGTAGAGAGACCTTGTCCAAGCATCCAGGGATGAAGTTAGGAAAGCTTAAGCCCAACTGGAATTGAATCTGGCCAGGGACATCTAAGACAGCAAGGAGGACTTCTTTAAGTACATAGGTGACAAAACGAAGGCTAGGGAAAATGTGGGCCCATTGCTCAACAAGGCAGGGGACTTGGTTACACAGGACATGGAAAAGGCTGAATGCCTTCTTTGCCTCAGTCTTTACTAGCAAAACCAGCCTTCAGGAATCCCAAGTCCCAGAGACCAGGTGGAAAGGCTGGAGCAAGGAAGATGTACCCTCAGTGGAAGAGGATCAGGTCAGGGAATACTTGAGCAAACTGAACATACATAAGTCTGTGGGCCTTGATGGGATGCAACCCATGAGTGATGAGGGAGCTGGCAGATGTCACTGCGAGGCTACTGTTGATAGTCTTTGATCGATCATGGTGATTGGGAGAAGTGCCTGAAGACCGGAACAAAGCAAATGTCACTCCTATCTTCAAGAAAGGCAAGAAGGAGGACACAGGGAGTTACAGGTGGGTCAGCCTCACCTTGATCCCTGGGAAGGTAATGGAGCAGCTAATCCTGGAAACCATTTCCAGGCACGTGAACAACAGGAAAATCATCAGGTGTAGCCAGCATGGATTCAACAAGAGGAAGTCGTGCTTGAACAACTTGATAAGCTTCTATGATAAAATGACTGGCCTGGTAGGTGAGGGGAGAGCAGTGGATATTGTCTACCTGGACTTCAGTAAGGTCACTCATAAGATCCTCGTATATAATACTCATATTCGTAGCACAATAGAACTATTCTAAATATTAACTTCTAAAATAATCATTTGAATACTCCTGCATTTTTAACTAATGTAATCCTTTGCAGCAAGTGTTTAGAAGGAAGTCATGTTTTTTTGGATAGCAGGTTCTAGAGTTCATTGAAATATTGAAAAAAGTTGTTGTGAAGAAAAAAAGTTTTCTTTCAATTTTCAGATTAATTAAGTGTATTTTTCCTATAGGTTCGGATTGCATTACAATTAGATGATGGCTCCCGTTTACAAGACACCTTTCTCTGTCAACAGACTTTGTGGGAACTTCTCAACCATTTTGCAAAGATCAGGTGAGCAATTCAGTGAGAAAATGCTTGTTTGGATGGATCTCTGCGTGACAGTAGTTAGTTGTTGTTACTGTGATCCAGCTAAATCCTGCAGACTTGTAGAATTTGCGTTTGTTTGACTGTTTTTTCCTTTACAACACAGATGTTTGCCTTTTCCTTGCTCTTTCAGATTTGACACTCCATAGTTTTGTTATTATTTTTTAATCCTGGAGTAGCACTCCTGGTTCAGGGCATAAACTGGTAACAAACTGCTAAGGCTAGGAAGAAACTGTAACTGGATATATTGCCACACCTGTCTTCTACACAAACTTGTTTGAAGTCAAGTTACTGCCAAAGTTGAGATGGTAGTTTAGATTATCTTGATCACCAGTATTTCTGTGCTGCAGTTCCATGTGGTGGAGGGGGTTCGTTCTTAAGCAAGTTGCTATTGCTTTTGAGGCTTCCTGTTGTGCAGGTTCTTCAAGGAAATCTGGAGCTCTCAGCAGGCTAATGTGGAGTCTTCAAAAGACTGATTAGATCCTGTTTAAATGGAAGAATTTCTGGTCCTACATTTGTTGAATATATACATGGGTTAGAAAACTTTAATATTAGAGTCCAGTCTAGATTCAGTGCTTGCTTTTGTCTTTAGTTTTGACTTTAAAATACTGTATTGTTTTGAAATGTCAAGCTAATAAACTTTTCTCCAAAGACAGTTCTTTTATTTTTGTCATGGCTTGGAAGATGAAGCCTTGAAGCTGTGACAGCCATTCTATTCTGAACAGAATTTCCAGATTTAATTTTTTTCTACTGTAGTTGGCTTTACCTTTCTCTTAATAAAATGTTTTTTTCAGATCCTGTATTTCTAGCTTGTTCTTTTTCTTATATTCCTCACCTCCTGCTAGTTGCTCTGTTGCATTTGAATCTCTTGCTCGTCTGTTCAGATGCTGTGCTAGGGTATTGTGCAAATTGGAACTATTTTTGTTAATTTCTCAAACCAATTAAATACTCATCTAAAGAGACAGTAGCTTTCTGTGTCAAAACTTTTGAAGTCTTCAAGGCTTCTCCAAGTCTCCTAGAAAAGCTATGAAATTAGTAGTCAGTCGTAAGGGTGATGGTGCAGTAGCATTCAGATAAGCTCAACCTTTTAGGGTACAGTTACAGGATGCAAAATGATGGATTGTCGCCTGTTAGCTAAGCCGTAGTAATTGACTGGTTATGGGTATGTATTAGTACTAGACTAACATGTACTAGCATAAATTGCTTTAACTGAAGTTTAACTGCGTTCTACACCGCAGTTGAAATAGCGTAAGAAGCATGGTTCTGGGTTGAATTGGCTGACGTTATCTCATTAAGTCAGGGTTGCACAGTTGAATTGTGTGACTGGAGTTGCTCTGGAGCTGTTTCCAGGGTTAAGGAGCTAATTCTTCCAGCCTTCCAATGATGTGCTGTTAGTTTTCTGCTAGCTTAGTTCCCTGACTGGCCCAACAAGATCAAAGGAGTGACTAGTGCTGGCCCAAGGCAGGGGGTTTGGATCAGGGGCATCTTCTGTGTAGCAGTAGGGGATTGAACAGTTATTGCTCACTTCCTGCCCTCCTATCTAACTCCCCTCATACTGTTTGTGCAGCTTTATGGGGAATTAGCTTAACTAGCGGACTCAGCTGAAAGATAGTATTTTCCCTATGTTATCTTTCAGGTAGATAAGTTTCCTAACCCAGTTAAGGGTTGTCTCTCATAGGCAGTTATGACAAGAAGCGTAGCGTGTCTGGAAACAAGGATCCAAAAGGAGGAAGCGACAGATGGGTAGGAATGGCGTATGTCAGTTTTTCTACTCAACATTTTGTATCATCAAACCATAGTTTTAGGAAATGCTTATGGTAGTCTAGTGACTCTAAAGTGATATAGATGAGTCTGTCTTACCATTCTCTTCTCGTCTTTAATGGGCAGGGACCAGGTCTACACTGTGGTGTTTACTCTTAAGTCAGACGGGACAGTCTTCATGTAAATGCTAGAGAGAAAAGAATTCTTCTTCTTTTGACTGAGGAAGGTAGGCAAGAAAAGCCTAATTTTCCTGGGTGTTTTAAGGCCCCTCTTGTACCTTACTACATACTTTGTGCCCTCTGGGAGGAGAGAGTGCCTGTTGCAGTTTAGGAACTGGTAGACTAGTGGGAGTGGTAATTATGGACAAATAGCATTTGTGTGGCTTTCTCACACATTAATTGGTTATTTCTTTGGTTTAAATTTTGAGCTTTTTATACAGTTTTGCTCCTTTGGAGTGGTTTTCTTTGTTACAGGTTATTGCAATACTAATAATTAATGTACATGCTGCTCTTTTTAAGATTCTAACTGCTACAGTGTGCTAAGCATTATTAGCTTCAGTTCATAAGACACAGCTGTTCTTTTCTGCCCTCTGGAAGCTGAGCTCAGATGTTTGGATGGACTTTGCAAACTGCAAACTTTTGATTAAGTTCCACAAGCAGCAAAGATGCTGTGTGTGACTTAATCACAAAACAAGCTGGATCTATAGCCATCCATATAGATTTCATGGGCTGTGCTGCTTTTCAGTGTGTCTTGACTCAGTTGACTAACTAGTCAGCTAGTTGTTGACTTTTGCTGAATCCTTCCTTTGACTTTCCAACTGGAGACGTTTTCCTGGAATGCTCAGCTGCTCTAAGTGCGTGAGGGGAAGTATTCTAAATCCACTGGAATTTCCCCCGGGTTTCCAGCGTCCATCTTGGCTAATTGGGTCTGAAGAAGGTCTGGAAGCTATTGTAAGGCTGCTCCTCCTCTCAGCGTGCGGCAGTCCTTGCACAAGATGTTTACAGGCCCTGTCAGATCACTACATGAAGGAATCTAATCTGCTTGCCGTTCCCCTTCTGAAGAACAGCACATCAAAGAAATGACAGTGTGTTTGATGTGTGTGCTTGCCTCAGTGAATGCATGTAATGGATTAACAGCAGCTGGAGGAGGAGCCTGCTGGCTTCCAAGAGTTATACAAAAATAAGTCTCTGGGGGATCTTTCCTTGGAGTCTGTTCTGCAGAGACTGGTTGAGGGCACAAGCGTTGTATACCCTTTTAGCATTAGGCCTGGGAGAACTGTTGCTTTTCTGTCTCCCACTCTTGCCTGTCTGGCAGCTTCAGCAGCTTTGTAAACTGTTTTACATAGAAGCGATTGCAGTCTGGACACTTGAAGACAGTTTTGACAATGACTATGACTCTTTGCTACTTTTGTGGTATCACTCATTAAGTTCAGATATTTTCCATACATTTTTAGAAGGTTCTTCAATCCGAAGAGTTGCTTGGATTGAAGTGGGAAGCAGTTTTGAAAAGATGAATGAAACTAGGTTGTGTAAGTCAAATTAGTTTGCTCTCTTATGGGTCTGTGTGGTGAGGACGTGTGTTCCATCGTGCCTCGGCTTCTCTCCTCCTAAATGGTGATCATCCACCTTTCCTGACAGACAGGAAACTTGAGGTTCAAGCTTTTATTCCTCTGGGCTGTTTTGGCTGCCTTTTCTGTGATTCTGTACTGTTTCCTCCATGTCTCAGCAGTCCTTTATCTTTTGTGCACTTTTATTGAGTATTCCTGTAGGGATAGAGCTGATCCTGATTGGAAACAAAATCCACTGAAAATAAGGTAGGGACGACTAGCTCTCCTGGGTTGTCTGGAAAAGTCTGAGCACACATAGCCTGCTATGGTGTGCTGAAGGTAGTCTCTTAGGTGCTGTTCTGTTCCAATCTTCCAATCAAGAGACAATTTTCGTGTTTTACGACATTCTCAGCTGATTTCAGTTTGAGTTTCACTTTGACTGCTGAAGGAGAGACCAACACGAAATAGAGTTTCTTCTGCTGTTGAATCTAATTCTCTCACTGATTTCACTGCCAGGGTCCTGTAGGTTTTGGTTTTTCCTGTGAAGTTCACTGCAGAAACTAGAATTCGGTGACTGAAGAGGCAGTTAAGTGCAAGTGTTCACATAACCCTGTAAGTCAGTCATTTGCAAAGATCCTCATGAGTTCAGTAGTCAACGCTGGCATAATAGGGCATAAAATGACAAGCTGACTTCAGGGACTAGCTTCAGCCTGTTTTGTCAGAGGCCTCAAGGATGTGTCGCTTTACTGGGCTGTCAAGCGGATTTCATTAGCTGATTTGCAGAGAGGTGGTTTCTCTTCAAGTCACCCAAGATGATGGGTGATTGTTTCCTGGTGAGGTGAGCCATAGGGGAAAGCCATTTTTTCCCGCCAGAGACTGGACTCCAGAGAGCACTAAGATCAAGGGAGTTTATGATGACGAAGAATTTCAGCTGTTTTGCTTTTGATGATAAAACAGCTGTTGCAGTGCAGATGGTATATACCAGCTCCTTTCCAAGGGATGTCCTGGTGCAACTGAAATGACAGTGTGGAGGACAGAATGTGCTAACAAGAGCTACTGGAGCATTATGGAGAAGGATAAATTTCATCAGTTCCCATTGTGTTGATGGGGAATATCCTGGGGCAACTTTCTCACCTTTTGTTTTGTAATTTCCCCTTCTAAGTTAGGCTGAAGCTTTTGAATTTAAAACTTTTGAAAAAAATGCCTGCGAGAATTCAGCCAGTTGTCTTTCCGAACCACCACTGTCTCAGCATGGACAGTGTTCTCCCGGTCACATTTTGCCATTGGTGTGCTTGGTGGGGAGAATTCTCTCACATATTTCAGTGCTTCAGTGCAATGTACTTCTCTAACTTATTTCTCTAAGGCTTTTTACTTTTCTACAGACATCTGAGGTTTCCTTGCTAAAAGTATTAGTCCTTTTTTTTTTTTTTTCATTAAGAACACCCTGTTGTAGGGTTTTCCACATGTGCTGTCTTTTGAAATTGTATGATCTTGGATGAGAACTGAGACTTGCTGTGACAGGCAGTGATTGTATTTTCCCTCTCCATCTTCTGTGTTTGATCAAGTGAATATGTGATAAAGCTTCTCTTCTACTTGAATGCCTCAGGATTGCTTATCTGGAGGAAAATGGGAAGAGTGGCATCTTGTCAAGAGTAGCATCTTACTGTTTTTTCCCCCTCTCTAAGAGTTCTTCACTTATGTCTTCCTCTGCAGATGGCCTGTCAGCAGTTTGCATCATTGCTAATACGTGTCCTGCCTCACTGAAATGCTTAAATGTGGGTTGATCTTTCCTTTGGCTTTGCTTTGTCCCTGGTCTCCAGAATCTGAAAGCTTCTGCTGTTTCTTTTTTTCTTTTTTTTTCTTTTTTAATCTGCCTGATACTAAGACAGGCAAATTCTTTGTCCTCACATTATTTGCTTTAGAGCAGTATTTCATTCTGTTTGTTGCTATGCATCCATGGAAAGAAACTGTCCCCAAGGAAAGTATGGTCTAAACTATAATAAACTATTCAACTTAGATAAGGGGTTAAAAAGAGCAAGTATTATTAAGTCATGTTCTAGATCGGCTACTGAGGCACATGAAGAATGATGTGCTGAAGTTTATCTAGTAAGATCAACCAATTTCAGAATTAACTTTAATTATTTCTCCTTTGTTTTTAAACTTTCAGGGCTGTGTTTAAGCAACAGTGAATGCATTGGAGCAAATTCTTTATCTAATGTCTAATACTGACTCTGTGAACTGTGTAATGGTTGTTGCTGGAGGAACATGGAGGAGAGTGTTGCTATCTAATTTCACTTCTTACTATTGCTCTACGTTAGTTTTGGAGGGGGTAGACTGTTCTACAGATGCTGCAGTATTTTGCTCTTTATTGCAGGGAGTTTATGGAACAGCATGGTGAATTCTCTCCAGTCTGTATTTACATGCGAGATGAGGTAAGTCAGCAGTCTTCTTAACTGTCTCTTGTCCTTCAGTCCTTAAAAAATAAGGAAAACTCAGCTCTGTTTTCCAACCTGGAAAGTGTTTCTTTTGAACTTTCTTGAGAGGGGAAGTAGAAAAATGTTGGTCTTTTCAAAGTATGACGTGTTTGTATGGAAAAAAGCTCTCTTGGAACATAACCCTGGGCCGTTTAGACCTCTGAGCCCATAAAATAAGCTCAATGACCTGTTTGTGTTTTTCTTTCCAACTTCTTCTAAAGCTCGAGTCAAAACAGTGGTTTCATTTTAATAAATATTTGCTTTTCTCTCTGTTTTGATCTTTTGCTATTAATGTTTTGTTTAATATTTTGTATGTGCGTATTACGGAATTTGCTCTCCCTAGCTGTCCGCTTCACTTCCCACTGACCTCTGTGGACAGATCGTCTTTATTCTGGAACAGGTCATTACAAGCAGATGGGAGGTGTATGTAATGAAATCGGCTGTCTTTCAGCTCTGAGATTTTGCCTGTGATTTAACTTCTGACATAAAAATAATGGTTTGCTAAGGTTGGATCCGATTGGGATGTGTGTATGGGACAGAAATATATGAAGGTCATTTTCCCTTGATATCATTTAATACGCAGTGAATTTGGTAAAGCAGTACAGGTGAATACAGATGGATTCAGGTCTCATTTCCAGCTTTTTAGTGTGTTTTGAGCTGTTTCTGGTGCTGTGGGGTGTTTGTTTTGATACGTGCTTCTTTCTAGAAAGAGCATTTTAAATGCTGTCCCAGGTAGGCAGTTGCCGTAATTACTTTCCTCTGTTTTTGTTGCAGATATCAGGAAAAGATGCCCTAGAGAAGACAACACTGAAGACACTTGGCCTGACTGGAGGCAGTGCCATCATCAGGTTGGGAGGAGCAAAGTTTGGATTCTTCATTTTTCGTTTCCACTCTGGTGGTGAATTTGTTTTGTTTCAAACACCAAAAAAAAAAAAAAAGCATGAAAAAGTTCAAAAAGACAAACATCGCGCCACTCAGTAATTATTGCATTTGCCTGTTTATCTGAAACTGCTGCCCAGATGTGCTTCCCACAGCTGCAGATGCTGGCACTGACCAGTCATGTGCAGATTAAAGGGGCTTGTTTGCTTCTTTCTTTTTTTTTCTTTTTTTTTTTCTTTTTTTTTTCCCTGTGAGTGAAACAGGCAATTCAAAGTTAAAAGTCTCTCTGAGAGGACAATCATCTACCACTTCATTCTTCCCTGCTTTGGATTTGAGGCATTAAACTCCCAATCCCTGCAGTGCCTCCTGCTGACTGTTTGGGAGGGTGAGGTGGGGGACAATGACAGCCTTTCTGTGATCTTCTAGCCAGTTCTTCGCAGTATATACAGAAGGCAGGAGTGATTAGAAGCTGTGCTTTACAACTGACTGCTGTTTTTTCCTGGAAGGCAGATTTCTTCCTGTGGAGCGGGTAGTTCCTGTTCTGGTTTTTTGCACAAACCCCTGACCCCCCACCCCTAACTTCAGAGCAACTGGAGCTTGTTCTTTGTGAGTGTCTGGAAGAAGCACATCGTTAAATTAGGGGTATATTTGAGTCTAGCTGTCTTCTTTGTGTTATGGTCACATTGAGAATGGGCACAGCAGTACTGTTAGGATAAATGATTTTGTTTTTATTCCTTTTGTTGTCTTCTTTAAGAGTTGTCATGAAGAAATGCAGTTCATCTGGTCGGGAGGAAGCTGTGGGTGCCACGGTGCGGTGTAATGAGCTGACAGTGAGGCCAGGCTCTATTGAAGGAGCAGTGGATGTGCCCCTTCCTCAAGCAAACACATCCCTGAAGGACTTGGACCACAGGGATGTGGCCATGTCTTTAAACAGCTGCACAGACAAGCAAGACTCGATTAGAGAATCTCATGCCAGCTTGGAGGAGCTGTGGCCTTCCTCAGAGCCCGAGTCTACCCCATTTGTCCCTTTTTTTGGAGATGGACAGCGTCTTGGGGACTCTTCGGTAGCTGTACCATCTCTTGGGTTAGATATGCCATCTTCAAAGCTGCCAACAACTTTTTCCAGCCCTGGTGGCCCTTCAAAGCCAAAGAAGTCTAAGAACAGCCAAGAACTGCAAAAGGAGCAAGAACAGGTAAGGGAAAATTTGTTTGCAGTGAGGGCTTTTTTTATCCTGCCTTGCCTGAGGCTGAGCTCCTACAAGGAAAAAGATGTTTCCATATTTAAGACTTTTCCCCCATAATACAGGGCTAAGTGCCTTGGTGATACACAGTTCTGCCAAGAGTTCAGTAAGGAAGTATTGCATTTTGGACAGTTTACTATAGGAAATACGAAGGATGGGAATTTAAGAATTTGCTGTCCAGAGGCAAGCAGAGCTTTGAACCTGGAGGTATCCTTGATGAATGGATCTAATGGAGGCAACACAACTGCATTAAAAGCACTGTCCAGAAGAGCTTCACTCTCTGTGCCTCAAATTCCATGCAAATTTCATTAGCAAATGCCCACTTCATCACCTGAGCCCTGGGTACTTGTCCTTCTTTTAAAAATTGCTATCTGCTGTGTGGTTTTGCTAAAGATGAGCAGAGTTTGGTCAGACTTGAGTTTTATAATACCCCGAAGGTGCTTACTGCTTGTTGTGACTGACTTATCCCCCAGATCACACAGAAGGTATGAGGTTGGTAGAGTTTTACATATGGAAAGGGATAACTTTTCTAGCTTGTTGTAGGATTGTCCTAGGAGCAGAAGCGGTCTTAATAGGTTTGTTGCAACTTGATCCCGTGACTTCCAGGATCTGAGAAGATGGTCAGTGTTTCTAACTCTTAGGTTGTAACGTGTGCTCAGATTTCTCATCTGAGCCTTTCTGTGGAACGTGGAACTCCATAGAAAAGCTATTGTAAAAGCAGTATCCCATGCTGGTAGTTGTTAACATCTGCTTCCTCAGAGTTCCTTTTGCCTGTGGTCACTCTAACTTACAGTTTAACTCTTTTGGTGACACGTGTGGTAGAATGTAAGGGGCATAGATCTAGGAAAGGAATTTTTCAGCTACAGTTGCATCTTACTTGCCAGGAGTTTGATATTTGAAAAAAACAGGTCTGGACCTCTTCCTTTCAGTCTAGTCCCATCCCTTCTGTGAGTCTTAATTTTCTTAGTATTGCAGATGAAGCAGAAACCTTCCATCCTTTTCCTCCTCTATTTCTGCTTGCATATAAAAGTGTCTTCTGTCTTGCTCTAAAATATCCTGGTTCTTAAGTAGTCTACCTCTCTCTCACCCTTCTCCCAGAAAGACAAATTGCACATCTATCATTGTTGGTGTCTGTGAAGTTAAAACTGTATTGGTTAAAATTAAAAATGCTTTAGCCCATGTAGCGATACCAGAACTGATGGCTTAATAACACTGTGATGCCATCACAGGATGGTCTTTGAATGATGTTAAGTATGCTTTCTGTAGGGCAGCTGTATGGAACTGAATGCCTTCAGCAAGGTTGGATATGTCTGGCAAGTAGCGTAAAATGAACTACAGGAGGCATGAAATTCATAACTTACTCCACATTATTGTGCATTGAGAGTTTCACATCCTGGATTTTTTCCCTTGCACCTTCCCTGCACACATCATCACTAGGGCTGGCTTTAGTGTTCAGAGATCCCCTTCATTGTTTCCTACTCTTTAGTACCTCCTAGAGTTGGAGTTTTGTGTTTATCTCTGCTTCTGATCCAGCCATGGATCAGATGGAAACAATGGAAAGCCACATGTAGAAAGAAAGGGTGCCTGATGAGGTTCAAAGGGAGCTCAATCCAGGAGGAATTTAGCAAGACTATGTGTATCCTCTCACACTGATGTAGAGATTCTACCTTGGTTGACTTCTTTGTGGCTGCAGTCCATTCTTGATGAGTTTCTGAATTGTTTAGGAGCAGAAGCCAGACCCTGGAAGGACTCTGGAGCAGTTACAAATGTAGCAGAAGGAGGCCTTGCCAACCCAGTGGTGAATATTTCAGTATATTAGAAACATATTTGGGTCCATCTAATCAGTGTTATTTAACCTTTTGGAACAGACCCTGAGCATGGAGAACTAAACAATAGGCTGGGTGATTTGTCCAGTCTAATGTGGTGCTTGCTTCAACCGCGCTCACCTACGAGGGATTTGGAAAGAAGGAGTTTCAATTGTGTCTGAAAAGGAAGGAAGGAAGAAGTGCAAGGGTTTGTGGTGGTATTCTTCACCAGTCCTGTTGTCTGCACTTCTCCGTGTGCCGGACTGGAAGAGACAGAACTCGTTTTATCGTTTTACTGGCCACAGCTTAATATGAAGTTGTGTTGTTGGGCACAGAGCTGAACAGCGGTGGCCTAAGGACTCTCATGATCCGGCATCTTTCTCAGAATTGCAGTCCAGTTCAAACCACTCAGAGGCACTTCTGGAGCCAGCCTCCCTTCCAGTTTGAGAGCAGCTTTGGAAGCAGCTGCAGATTCTGTTGGGGGGGTTCTGCCCTTGTGTTAAACAGCATGTGATTTTGACTGCTGCTTTCAAGCCCTTTGATCTCTGGTGCTTTTGCTGCTGATTGATTACATTTTGTTCCCTCCTCCATTCCTGCCATCCTCCGCTCTCCTTGCTCTCAGCAGCAACAGCAGAGCAGGGCTGGCCACATGGCATCTGCTTTTTGTCCCTTTTCAGTCCTGAGGAAAAAACCCAAAACAAAACAAATTATTTTTAAACATCAAAGGTCCATTTTTGTAAAAGAATCTTCCCATTAATGCTTTGCCTGTGTGTGGTTTTTGAAGCTGAAGAGAGAGGCTGGATAAAATCTGTGCCGGCGTCCTTTCGTTTCTTGGGCTAAAGATGGTTTACAGACAGCTGCATGCTGACTTTGATGTCAGAACATTAATTATTAGAAGGTAACTTTACACCAGATTCCCCATGAGATTAGAGCTCCCTGAGGTGGTGGGGAGGAGGTCGGTCTCTAGGGAGAGCTTGCTGCTGTGGAAAGCACAATAGCCACTACTTCACTTAAAATGAAATAAGTTTTCCTCAGCTTACCTGCTCACTTAGGTCCGGGGTGGTGACATAGAGTGAACTGCATTCTTCCTGATACCTGGCTTTGTCACATAGACTGCAGTTACGTAGACTGCCTAGTAGACACTGCTGTGAATAGATGGCTTCAGCCTCCTGGTGAAAAGTGCCTAACATCTCAACTTTGGTAGTAGGAGTAGAGACTTTGAAGAATGAAGGTGATAAACGGTAGCGCAGCATCTTTGGCTCCTGAAAGGTATCGCTGACAGAAATGTGACAGCAAAATGCACAGCTTGCTTTCCTCCAGAGTTACATAACGGAAGGTAGAAACTGCCGTATGGTGGCTGTTTATTATTACAGGAGATGGCTACCTTTTGTCACGGTTGCAGAAAACACTAGATGTGTAGTGGACTGGAAGGTGAGTTGGTGTACCTGGTAGCCTCCTTTTTGTAAATTGCTACAGGAAGGTAGTTTTTGGATTCTGTCTGTGCTTCGGGATTGTTGGTGACACCTTAAAATAAGGCTGTATTGAGAGTACTTAGATTGAGAGATGCCTAATTGGAATAACTAAGTGAGCAAATGGTAATGGATGAAGAAGGAGGAACAGGATGATGGCTGGATTCTGGGGAAAGAGAGAATTGGTAGAGCAACACGAATGGATACCTCTTTCTTTCTGAAGAGTGTTTCTTATGTCTGTAAGGAGGCGCGATATATGGTTGATTCCACGGGGTGTTAAATACACGACAGAACAGATATTATGATTCTATTCTGATGTGGCAGTCTTTGCATCCTCAGTGGCAAGATGATGATGTCTTTTGTTTGCTAAGCAGTGCTTAGTAGATACCTTGTGCTGCCCTTGTCTGATCAGACCCTGTTGTGCAATTCTGGAATTGAGTTGCAGAAACTCTGACTCAAACCACCTGAATTACGTTTCACAAAAGCTCACTCATTACAGCTGTCTCCAGAGGTCTCACTCTGTTATTGGGGGTTAGCTGAAAATTTAATATTAGGGAATTCTTACTCTAATTGTGTATTTTTGCAGTCTTGTTAGATATGCACAGATCTGCTCCTTCTGTACAGAAAAGTATGTTTCTTCATGTTAAGTAGTAGCTAAGTAATGTGTTTTGGTTTGGAAGTTAAGCTATTCAGCATTCAGTGTTGGCTAGGGAAACAGATAAAATGACAGACTTCGGAGCTAAAAGGTAGCTGTGTGTCTGTTTGGGGCCAGTACAGGTATCCTGCAGAGAATTAAACAGGGACATCTTGGCTGGCTGCAAGTTGGAGGTCAAGAGTAGGGCATTTAAGTCTGGTGAGTAGTGAATTTTGTATCATAGCATGTAGGTAGTTCTGCTAGGCTGGGGAATGGCTCTAGAGAGGAAATTCCTGACTGCCCATTTGCAGTATCTTGTTGGCAATGGAGACCCATTTGTTTGAATGAAGATGTCTGGAAATTGACGCTTGAATGACACTTCTAACATACAGGTCTGGAGTAGTGAACACACAGTGAGGAAGAGGGGTGAACACTTAGGACTGGGATATATGTCTACCTGCTGCTATCTCATGATTTCTGATGTCTTGGCTGAAGTCTTTAGCTACTACCATGGTTTGGGCGGAGACTGACTCTTCCCCTGTGGAATCCTGCTACCGTTAGGATTAGCTAAAGTGCTTGCTAGAGCCAATACTAAATGGTAAGTTTAGGATTTGCTAATACAGACATTGGAATTCTCTCCATCATATCCCAGCACCCTTCACAACATGCCTTAGGATATGCCTGCTCAGTCTTTTGTTTTGGGGTTTTTTTTTTTTGGAAGGAGAAGTCTATTTTCAGTATGTGTGTGTTTAGAAAGAAATGAAACTTGAGCCTCTTTGAGGAGATTGAAGTATACCTGATTATTGGGGAGGCCTGATTAATTCTCTTCTGGCCTCTGACATCGATCTGACCTTACCAGACCAGCTGCTGGCAGCAGTTAGGACCGTGGTGCCACAGGCCCTTTCCCAGAGAGTGGCTCTGCATGCTCAGGATCACGCCTGCAGCGCTGGGCATTCCTCCCCCTGAGCCCCAGGAAAGCTGCAATCAGGCTCCTTCACCCACTAGTTAGAGCTGACCCTGCTCAACTTTCTAAAAGTAGCCAAGGGTCCCACCCACACAACCTCGCTCTTTTAATTTCTCAAATTACCCTTTAGTGCCCACAAGCAGAGTGAGCATTGCCTTGTAATTTGTGTTGTCGCTTTTGACAATTGAGGGAGACTACTCCTGTTCCCAAGGGGCCTGTGCCTGGGGGAAGGGAGAATGGATGGAACAGATGGAGGGAGGACATTTGGGCATTAACTAGGATTGGAAAGAGTATGTGAGGGAATAAGGGGAGAAGAAATGGGCATCAGGCTTGTTCATAAAGCCTAGAGCTGTGTTAGGCTGGCAGCTGAAGGTAAAGAAATGCTGTATTAACTATCAAAGTTTTTGTTCTCGTGGGGCTCTTCAGTCATGGACCGCTTCCCCCCCTGCATCTCCTGTAGCCTGCAGTACACTATTCTGTTTGCTTTCAAGCTTTGTGCGTTTAAACATTTCTATGATTTAAAAAGTTTGAATTGTTCAAGAGCCAATAGGTGTAACTGCCTCTTGTGTATTTGACTCCAGTAGTGGTTTATATTCACATACTGACAAAGCTGCTGCTTTTAATGTACTGTAGCCAGTATCTAACCTTTTCTAAGTTGGGAGGGATGTCATTCTCCCTTCAGAGGCAGCGAATGCTGTTTGTCTAATAGGGTGGGGGGTGGGGGGTTTTGGTTTGGGTTTTTGGAGGGTTGTGGGGTTTGGTGTTGGGTTTTGTTTGTTTGTTTTTTAATAACCGCAACCACAGTTATAGGCCAGGACACAATTGTACTGGAAGGTTTGCCATCATGAGATCCAACTCCCAGTTCTGGGCTCTGGAGGCAGGGGGAGCAGAGCGGCCAGGCTGCCTGTGCCCTGCTCTGCAGGTGAGAGGGGTATCTTGGCTGTCTGAGGTCTGTGTGCTGCTTGAATGGCCTATCCTCAGCAGCTTTTAGGGAAAGTTGCCAATAAATGTATTTTTGCAGCTAATGCATACAGTGAACTGCTCCCCTCACATCCATCTGCTTTGCCTGCAACAAGGGCTGATTTCAGTGCTAAGTACTTTCTAAGTGCAAAACAAAAGGGTTTCCACTGTCTAAGGGAGCTTTCTGCACACCCAAAAGCCGGGTTAAAGATTTGAAATGCGTACAATGAAACCCTGCAGTAGCTCGGTTCGGAGAACTCAATAGGTCAAAAACTACCTTACCCCAAAACAAAGGATCGCTCTCTAGAGTAAGAGGAAATGGAGTGAGCCCTGTTTGGGAACTAGTGCCATTGGTTCTGTGGCAAGAGAGTGTGAAGCGAAGAGAACAGAAGATATGATGTGAGCCAGGAGTGCATGGTAGATGAAAAACTTAAAAGGGCAGTTTGTAGTCTGTAGTACGAAGAATAGCACCTGTGTAAGTTGTATGCTGCCTGTAGAATGGTAAGGAAGCGATTGCATACTGAGAGAGGTTTGGAGTAGAGCAGAGAGAGGTAGGTTTTCGTTTTGGGATGGGAGTAATTTCTGCGTACTTGTAACAAGCTTTTAACTAGCTAGAAGTAGGGTTCAGCTGCAAAATATCATTGTATTGTAAGTGAAGAGATTTCACAGGCACTCCCTGGAAAGGAGTCGTCTCTCCTTATTTTAGATGATGTTATTACCCTGGGCTTTCTATACTGACGGCGGAGAGTAGCTAACTGCTAGGGTGTGATTCATCTGACAATATAGATTCCTACTGCTTGTTGGGAGGAATTGTGCCCCAAGCTCTATCAGCTATAAAAAATGACAATGCTGACAACCTCTGTATTGTTAGTCTGATCTTAGTGACATGAATTCCACGCTAGTGATTGTATTTCCGTTCGCAAATACTGTCCTTTTACTTTTTACAGGAACCTTACAGCATAAGCAAAGCAATGCATTTAAGACTAATTGAAGCTCATTTTTATTCTGTAGCTTGTAGAACGAGAGCCACTTGTATGTCACCTAGACCTACTAGAACCACTTCCTGCTGGCCCAGAAGAGCTTCCTGATGAGTTTTTTGAAGTCACAGTGGATGATGTACGGAAACGTTTGGCACAGCTGCAGAGTGAGAGGCAAGTTCCCTTTCTGCTGGCAAGTGAGATTGCTCCATATCCTTCTGTTGAGCAGTGTGACTCTATGCACCTATAGCTGGCTGTGATCTCTGGGTAAAGGGTTGTAGATAAGTTTCTGGGTGTGGAATTAATTAATGATCAGCACTGGAAGACCCTTTATGTCATTTGAATTCAAGGGCTATGTCATGTTTCTGTGACAGAACTTATGTTTTTGTGTGAATCACTTGAGCATTTGTGCATGGGATAATGGTTTCACGTGGATGTTGAAAATTTCATCATGAAGTGTCTGTGATGCCTATGTGGTGATAAGATTATCTGAGAACCCCAAGCTAATCAGGGATGGGCCCTCACTGAGAAAGGATTAAGAGAAAGATTCCTTCCCGTATTCTGCATTTCAGGGAGTTATTCAAAGCCACTTAACACCCCACCTCTTTTTCTTTCTTTCCTTCTCCCTTCTTCTGAAAGAGAAGCCACTGCCTTTGTAATTAGATGTGCTCTTACTTGCTGGAGGCCCAAAGCAGTGGTGAGCTCCTGCTCTCTGTTTTGATCTGACTTCACATTAACTATTAGGAATTAAATGGATGGAATTTGTAACTTGTGATGGACAAATATATTGTCGTGGTTTAACCCAGCAGGCAGCCAAACACTACACAGCCGCTTGCTCACTCCTGCCCCCTCAGTGGGATGGGGGAGAGAATCAAAAAAAAATGTGAACAAACACAATGATCCAGCTTCATAAGAATAACTCCCACTGACTTCAGTAGTAGCTAGTAGCTTTTTCAGTCAGTAAGAAACACCTTGTGTTTTAAGTAACAGAATTAACCTTTTATTAGACCTCATCAGAAATAAACAACTTTGAGACATTACCCAAATGGAAATAAAGCAAAATCAAACTTAGCCACACATCAAGACATAAGAATATTTGGAACATGCACAAAGAGCAGGAAGAAGTATAGGAAGCTGGACTAACTATGCATCTCACTGTTCAAGTAGCTTGCTGTCAAATATTCATGATTTTACTGTACTTTTATTCCAGTTCTAAACTAAAAACTCAGATTAAGATGAACTAACCTCCCTGTCACAACAGCATTTTGTTGTCTGTATGTTCCTTAAAGAAATTAATTTCATGAATGTATTTAGTTTCAAGTGGATCATAACATTCCTTTAAACTAAACATTACAAGCATTCTCTGAGACCATGGGACAGCCTGCTTTACACTGTAACCAAGTCTGAGTTGAAGTTTTTACTTAGAGCTGATTTTTTTCCCCACAGGCCACCAAAATCCACATGAGTACACAGATTGGCCTGAAAATTGCTCTGCCGCTTGTGGGTCTAGAGTATTTAGTGGTACAGATGTAGGATCATTTGGTTGGGGGTTACTGGAATACAGCCCCCTCAAAAAAAGACCTAATTTCCGAATTTGCTGATGCTTGTAATCCCTTATCCCCTCACAGCCAGGGATAAAAATAAAGGCAAGTTACACATGAAACTGATACCAGTTGGCTTCTGTTCTCAGCTGCTGAATCTTAACAAAAACTAGCTGTATACCATGCAACATTTTAAATGCAATTAGAATTTAATTCTGACTTCATGAAGAGCTGAGAATTGGTATGAATCAGCAATTGATACATGAAGAAGGAATGGAGCACATTAGTTCCGTATATTTGCTTTTCAGATTATGAGTTGGCACTTTCAGAGCATCTTGGAATGTGGTGTACAGCTGGTGAAGTTCTGGGCACAGTTGGTGAAGTAAGCCTGTAGCTGTTTTGTTCAGCAGCTGTTCCTGAGACACCTTGATGATTCTTAAAAACAAAAAGAGGTCCTTCAAACTGTATAGGTGTAAGAGATTAACTTGCAAATAGATGTGCGGAATTATATGATCAAATGTTTCACCAAAATCTAGCTTAGTACATCAGTTATTCAGAATTAAGTGCAAACAAGGAAAAGTAGCTAAAGCTGAACATGGGATCTGTTGGATCTAATAATGTTCATATGTTCCATATATGAGATTTTGGGGTAGGAACCACAGGAGGTGGGGAAAATGCTGTGAGGGATACGTGGAACAGTTGAGCAATTCCCATCAGCCCTGCATGGACCTTTTGCTTTCTTAATAAAATAAGAATACATCTTAAAATTACAAATTTCTTTACTTACAGGAAAATACATAATCGTTTTCTTGAATTTATTGTTTCATCTTAAACAAAGGGAGATTTTTTTTTGCACCCACTACTCCTTTTTAAACATCAGTCTACAATGCCAGTTCTTGAATGATCTGAAACATCTCGTTTTTGTTTTGTTTCCCTATTGCTAATTAATACCCATTAATTTCCTGTGCCAGCATTGTTTTTCAGCTTCAGTAGCTCTTCTTCCTCCCTGGAGTAATCACGTCCAACTTTAGTCTCTGTTTTATTGGATTAACAAGTCCATCTCTTCTTGAGTAGTCTAAGCAAACATTCCCCTGCTCCTCTTAGTATCTTTTCTGGCATCTGCTGTAGTGAACTTATTTTTAAACTTGTACAAGAAAAGTAGTTTTATACAGTATTGTTGCTGATGTTTAGTAGTTCCATATATGAGATTTTGGGGTAGGAACCACAGGAGGTGGGGAAAATGCTGTGAGGGATACATGGAACAGTTGAGCAATTCTCATCAGCCCTGCATGGACCTTTTGCTTTCTTAATAAAATAAAAATACATCTTAAAATTACAAAAGTGACAGCTTTTCGTCTTCCCGTGTATCTAGGAAACGCCTGGAAGAAGCTCCACTGATGACAAAATCTTTGAGGGAGGCTCAGCTGAAGGAAAAGTTAGAGCGTTACCCAAAGGTAGCATTTGTTCTTTTTCCAGTCTCTCTGGCTAGTCCAGACTTGGGGGTTGAGTAACTTTGGGAATCAATTGTGATCAACAGGATCTTGAGCTACTTATAGGAAGACTTTTCAAATTTCTGTTCCTGTTAATTGTGAGACTTGCATAACAGTTGTACCATATAAAATCAGCTGGCCTGTAATGATGTGGTTGAGTGGTGGGCAATATAGCTCCTTCTATTTTGTTCCGGATGTTTCAAAACCCTTATGTTGTGCACATGTCAGTCTTTATGACTGAGCTTTCCTATCTGCCTCTCCTCTGTAGGCTCTTACATTTTGATAGTATCTCATTATAAGTTAAATGATAAGGTGTTACAGATTGGAGATATCTTACTCTGTAAATACAATCCTAATACAGTTTTTGTCTTTGGTGATTTATTGCAAAAAAATATGAGATTAAGTTCCCAAGTTAAGTGCTTTCTGACCAATGCTGGAAATAGAATGGTACGAGTTACTTCAGACGTATGGTCTATGGACGCTTCAGGATACTGATACACTGTCTGTACCTGTCCATGGGTGACTTTCTACTTTGTTTGTGCATCACTTAGCACGGGGAGCTCCTACTTTCTGAATAAGTGCTGCTGCATTTTACATCATACTGTTTCTATAGATGAGCTCTCTTACAGCCTTTGAAAACCAGACAGCCCGTGTTCTCTGAGGAGCTGCACAGTAATTGTTAGCCAGTATGCTATTCTATACCTATAGAGTAAATATCTCAAATCTCCCCATTTAAAAAAAAAAACTTGCTCACAAATTCTAAGCCAAGGTCAGGTGTTACAGAACAGCCATAAACAATTGTCCTAACGCACTTTGCCTCTGATTTAGGTGGTGTTGAGAGTCCATTTTCCAGACCGTCATGTTCTACAGGGGTTCTTCTGTCCTAGTGAAACTGGTAAGAGCAATCTCCACTTCAGTCTGTGTAGCTGCAGCTAACCTCTCTCATCATTGATTAGTTGCATGCCAAAAGAGAGTGGCTCTGGACAGATCTTTCTGCTGTCCAGGGAAGTAATACTGCTCTGAAAAAGCAGCAGTAGCTAATTACACTGTCCTTATAAGGCCCCTGAACTGGATGAGAAAAGGGTCTGGGGTAATTAACTTAGTTAAGGGGAATTTATTTCTAGGACTGCTTGATGGAGACTGTCAGGCTGCTTGATGGCAAAATATTTGTGCTCAGGAAACTGTTTCACTTGATACCCATTGTTTGCGTCCAAATGTTAAGTTACTGAGATGAGTTTGGACACTTCCTCTGTGTTAAAGCGTAAAAAGTTTTGGGGAAAAAAAAATACCACCATCCCCCCCCAGTCCAAAACAAAACCAAAAAACCAGGAAGAAGAAAAAGAGGCTGTAATAAGAATAACAGGGGATGAACCTTTCTGCCTCCATCAGTTCACAGAAGGCGGTCAGACCATACACCAAGTAGCTCTTACTGTTGTTAATTGAGATCCTCTTATTCGCAGCAGGCAGTGATGGTTACCCACACAATTTTTTTGATACTTCTGTATGGAACAAGAACTAATAACTAGTTACCAGAGTCTCACCTGGCTGGTCACTGCAAATCTTGCAGCTGCTATTGGATTTCCTAGGAAGAACTTCACTGGCATCCTTAGATTTTGCTAAGGGACCAGCATGTCTAAGTGTTTCTTGGGGGTGTTTTGTTTTTTTTTTTCTTTTCCCTCCAAGATATTTGTAATAGTAACAGTATTCTTTTGAGGAAAAGGGAATCTACAGACATTGTAGAGGGCAGTTCTGCTGGTACAGGTTAGCCTTTTTGTCCAGCATCTGAAGAAACAAATGTAATTCAGTAAACCTTTCTCTCCTTTTTTCACAGTTGGCATTTTGAGAGACTTTGTAAGAAGCCACCTTGCAGATGCAGACTTGCCATTTTACTTGTGTGAGTGTGCTGTTGGTAATGTTTGGCCTTACTTTACAAAGTCTGTTCCTAGCTGTGTATATGGGATCTTGTGATGCCATGAGGGGAGGAATTCCTTCCCTAAATACAGCCTCAGAGTGCAAAGAATGTGTAACCTGCTCACTTAGCCACATTATGCTTTTGCCTAATAAGAAGCCTATGTGGGCAATGTGAACATGTCACTCCTTTAAAGAGCACTAATCCCTCCCATACCTGCTGTATTTATTGTTTTGGTTGCTGGGTGGTCCTGTTTTGTAACTTGTTTTTTAACTTCAGTTATTGCACCTCCCAGAATCATCTTGAACGATGAAAGTTTGACGCTCTTTGAGGTAAGGACTCCCATGTGTGCTCTGTGATTCTCTGACTTGCTGCTCCCCTTCGCCCCGCCATGTGCTTTAGTTACTTTTAAAAGAAACTGTGTAATGTTGTGATCCCTGTAGACGTCCGCTTAGCCAAGACTAATGGAACCAGGTGTTTGGAGCACAAGCTCTTCACCAGAAGAGGTCCACCTTGTGCAACAATATGCACTGGCATATTGCGGCAGGGCTGGGGGGGTTGCATTGTTTTATACATAGACTCGGTGACTTACGGAGTCTGAACTGTATTTAACCTTGAAACATTATTGCAAGAGCTGAGCTAATGCGAGTTTGCTATATCTGTAGTTGGACTAGTGTAGTAGGAGATGTGACACTGGGTTTGGATAGGTAGCTGTTTTCAACTTCTACAGCAGGAGCTAGAGGCCATAGTAGACAAAAATCTGACCTTTTTGATAATCACTATGTGAGAATTTATTTTAAGCCAGCTTGTACATTGAGGAATATGTACTCTCTATGTGTAACTTTTCTCAAAGGCTGAAATTTAGTTTTTTCAGATCCAGATTCCTGGAGGTTTTTTGCAAATGTCAGATAAGGTGGTCTTGAAGTCTCTGACCAGAGACTCTCGGCTGTGTAAATCACACACGTGTGAAGAGACTGATCGAGTGATTTTGTTAGTGACTTTGCCCCAAACTCACCATGTTTAAAATGTGCTGTCATTCAGGGAGAGGGATAGAGAAAGGGACCTTTCAGGCAGCATGGTGAATTAGGTAGGGATTAGCATGCCTCTGAAGTTGTTTGTAATGGAGCTTTCCAAATTCCACAACTTCCTGACCAGGCCATGTGGAAGAGGTACACGTGCAGCTGCTTTTAGACTATTGAATGTTCAGGGAAGCAACGTGTGGATCTCTGTGTTCACAGTGGGAAGTCTCTCCTCTTCCTAATACCTTTTTAAGAATTCTTTGCTGAAATTTGAAGTTTTGGGAGTGGTTCTGGTGATGTTGGAGTTCCTTGTATTGTCACCATGCCTGTGACAGGTTTAGCTTCCTAGGGAGTCATAGCCCTGCTTGGTGCTGTGGTTCAGGAATTGCTATGCAGTAGCTCTTGGCCTCCACCCAGCTTCACAGCCTGAGGACTGCTCTGTTTCTATCAGCCTTCCTATGCTCTGCTTGACCGTGACCTCTGTTTGAATGAGCAGTGTGCATGGCTGTGCTTCTCCCACCGACAGGAACGGGACAGTGTATGTGTTGGTAAGACATAATGTTATCGTGGGTGGGGCGAACAATGATTTTTCTTTTCAAAGCCGTTTTGTATATTTTAATTAATAATGAAAATACCAGTGGAAAGCACTTTGTGTCTTTGAGCCAGGAGATTTTGCCATTTGGTCATGAAGGCAATTCTCCCAGCTTCCTCTGACTTGTGCCATCTCACCCACATCTGCCACCCAAAACACTGTCTCAAGGCACACGTGGTAACCGTGATGGGAAATGTGAAGGACAAATCTTGTCTTCAGATTTCTGAGAAATCCCATGAAGGGGAAACTGGCTATGGTTGCATTGCTAATGATATATTTGCAAAACATTCAGAGGAGGAACAGCAGATAATAAAAAATGTTCTGCACTTGTTAGCAGGTCTGAGGCAAGGGAAGCAGCTGTAGAGCTGTGACTAGTACAGAGTGGTCTGACATGGCACATGCACACTACTCTCAGCCTTTCTCTGTCTCCTTTGGTTTTTTTCTTTCTTTTTTTTTTGGTCCTAAGCTGTCATGCCTGAGCACATCCCCCACCTAGAGTTCCTTTACACACATTTTCTAACATGCTTTTTGGAAAGTTTTTTTCATCATTCCAAAGCATGGTCTCTCTGCAGCGCTCACCAACAGAGGTCTTCTGCATAAAATGAGCGTTTTTCGGTCTTTTTCTAAGATTTGGCTGAGATGTGTTCCCAGATTTCCTGTCTCAGCCTTCAGACCTGTGTCCCTACAAAATATACAGCTTTCTTTTCAGTGTCTCTGTAGGAAACGATATTCTGCCCCACCCCATAATGCCTCATTTTCCTATAGAATCTCAAAAGTTTTGGCACTATTTATTTTTTCTTTAAGATGTTTTTTTGTTTTGTTTTGTTAAGTACATCCTAGATGCTGAAGAGTCAAAATCTGCCTCTCTAATGAACCTTTTTCCTATTCTCAGTTCATTTTCTATTGGATGTTTTGTTGCTCCTTTGAATTCAAGGTACTTACCTTTCTGACGCTGCTTTCTTCCATTGTTTTCTGTCACCGTTGGAAGATACCCTGTCTGCTCACATGCCTGTCCTTACCACCTTGAAATCTCCTATGACTGTTCTCTTCCTCTTTTTTAGTTAGCTTCTAAATCCTTTGCATACCATACTCATTCCACAAAGAAAAGGAGGTTTCTCTGGCTTTTCAGTAAACTTGAATGCAGCACCCTCTTTGCTGGCCTCTATCTGCCTCCTATTCACCCAATCTCTGATGCTGTCTCTGGTCTCTGCTGTTAGCTTTGGTCTGTCTTCTAAAGTAAGTTCAAAATCCTCTGCTTACCTGTATTTATCCCTTGCCCGCCTCCCACCCCCACCCGCTGCAATACTGTTCTTTTGTTTTCTCTTTTTCAGCATACATCTAATGTTTCTCTGGATGTCTTCTGAAACATAACTTGTTCAGTGAAACACCACAGAAATAATTACATTTCTCTGTCTTTGAATCAGAAACTTTATGGCAGGAATTCTGTTTAATTTGCTGTGTTAAAGCTTTTGTTCTGTACCTGGCACCATTACTTGTGCTTGTTACATGTGTCGCAATTTACCAGTTTCCTAGTTGTGACATTTACTGTGGAATTCATTCCTCGTGGCAGCTCCCTGAAACGTATAAAAATGTGTTAAATTAGTGCTCTGTAAAGACTTCGAGGTACCTTACAGCCCAGTCTTTTAGCCTCCTTTAGAAATCACAACTTGATGAAGAACCTGGTCGATTTTAGTGTCAAGCATCTTCAATTTGTAGTGGCTTCCCTGAGAATGAAGTGCTTGCTGTGTCACGGGGCAAAGGTGCAAAGCCTTGATGTTAGTACAGTACTGTGACTGTTCAAGATACGGTGCTCAAAAGCTGAAAATTCTCCTGCAAATTGACTGTTTTAAGGAATGATTTTTCTCATTTCTCACTTCCTCTGTGTCAAAAGAAGAATTACATCCAATTAAGATAAATGGTGGCAAATCCAAAGTTGATTTAAGAATTTTTTTTTTTTCGTGCAACATGTAATCATTAGTGTAGTCTAATTAAACTGTAATTAGAAAGTGGATGTGTTGAGAATTTGGGTATAATTAAAGAAAAATTGATTTTTTAAGCATTATCTAAGTATACAGAATCATTACAATTATTTGCAAAATGTGGAAAAAAGTAAAATCTCATGCTTAAAATATTTTTAGGGATTGTAATGTGACATTTTGAAGAGATTATTATCACATTACTTAACAGTTGCGTGACTTGGCATTTTCTTCTTAACCAGCTGGCTCAGTGTAGGTAAATGTAGTGATGCATGTGCGAGGAAAAATAATTTGAACTTCATATGCATCTCAGAGAGTTCTTGGGTTGATTGTTACTGCTCTGGAGCAAAACCTGAAGGTGATGAAATCATCAGCTCATCACTGAAGAGTAGTCAAAACCGAAATGGCCTCCTTCCCAAAATCCAAAGTACCCAGAACGAAATAAAGAACATCGGTGTGTCATTGTATGAAAGCACGGTTTGCTCACATCTTGAATAATGTGTGCAGATCTGGTCTCTCATCTTAAAAAGGAACTGGTAAAGGTGCAGAGAAGGGGAATGAGGTCTGGAATGGCTCCTGCGTAAAGAAAGACTAAGTAGGCTAGGACTTGTCAATCTGCAGAAGACGTGACTGGGAAAGGAATAACATATCACGGAGAAGCTGGAAGGGGTTGATTTCTGACTCTCTCCAGGACACAAGAGTGAGTGGCATCAAGTCAGGCGAGGAGGAGCTAGAATGAATGGAAGAAGGTAGTTGTTCATGCAACGGAAAACTGAAGTGTGGAATTCCTTGTCACAGGGTGCTATATACTAAAAGTACATACTGGTTCAAGAGAAATTTGGACAAGTTCAAGGAAGATATCTACTGAGAGTCTCTTAATATATAGAAACCATCTCAGGAAGCTTCTGAACTGAACATCATTGCTAGCTGACAGTATTAGGGGAAAGTATCACATAAAGGCAAAGAACAAGGATACTCTTCTCTCTGCATCTGTTTTTTTGTTCACTGTTAGAGATAGGATACTGGCTGGACTGGGTCTGCATACAGTTGTTCTTATGTCCTTGTGTATTGCTGGAGGTGGACTAACCAGGCTACCTTAGCAACTTACCTGACCCAACAGCAATTCCTATATTGACTCAACTACTCTATAGATTGAATGATAATGGACTAATACACATGAAACAGTACACAAAATTTCACGTATAGCAGAGAATTTAAACTTGTATGTTTGACTTGTTTCTTTGAATATCCTGGAATAATTAAGCCTTTGTAACTTTACTGCCTGTTAGGTGTTTAAGGGTTTTTTTTCAGCTTTATGATTTCATTAATAGAACCACTTTGTATATAATTCTCCCAATTTTAAGGAAAAAAAGAAAAAATACAGACCGTATGAGCTGTAGAGTTCTGGAGGAAACAGCTGATAATATCAGTGGAATTTGTTAGATTTTCCTTTGCATGTGACATCCTGTGTAGCATTTCGTGTCTGTGGAAAAAAAGATGCAAAGTATAAGCAACTTGTTCATGAGATGGTGTGTTCTTCTATAGTGCAAGTGATGATGTGAGACATACAGGTAATGAAAAATGAGTATGTGAAACAATAAGGGCACTGCAAACTCCTTCTAACCAGGTGTCCTGTAGAAGCTTTTTTTCTGCATACTAATTTTTATTGTTTCTCGAGACATTTCTGCTGAAAACCCTAAGGTGGATGTTTGTTGTTTTAGAGGAACTTTTATCTGAGTAATTTA